GATGCCGGCCAACAACTGCGCATCTCCATGATCGCGTTTTCATGTCAGTACGAAATTGGGACTGCCGTTGGAACGGCCTCTAATAGCTAGCTACACACACTTGTCATGAAGTCCGTGTCATTCTGGCCGGTAAAGTTTCGCCGCGCGGCCAAGTTGCCATCTCCTGCTACAATATCGACCTCAGACGCTAGAGCGGCATAAACAGTGAGGTGAAGTCGGTTCGGACGAGATCATAGCCACCATAGCCCTTATGGAGCATTTTGCTATTGATGTGAAAATTGCAAATCCTTAGCTCATCACTGTCCAATCGCGTTAGATCGCTCCTGGACGGCGTATGGTGCTCCGGTGGAAGCGTGTTTGTGGCATCAGTATTCTCAAAAACAGTTTCATTGATCTCGACGATCCGGTCTGTTTCCGGATTCCAGCATCGGTCGATGTGCTGAGAGTGCAATGCCGTTGACCAAAGTGGCATCACGGACTGACTGAAACCACGATTGGCGCTTTCCAGATTCGGTAGATCGAGTTCTGCATCTAGCACAGTCTGGGTCAGATTGCGTCCACCTCATCCGCGGTCATGCGTTCTCCGGTAGTCGGATGGTAGCTGCTGTCCGCCTCAAGCCTGCCTTAATGGATTCGAACGAATACGGCATGGATTAACCACCCGGGGTTTTCATCCGGTGGCACATTATATCCTTCTTGTGTACAGACTGGACTACCCCTCGAATCTTGCCGTCAATTGCTTCATTCATGTATTCGCTGAGGTTCAAACCTGCTGCTTCTTGCAGAATGATGATATGACAAGGACGCCGAAAGATTAGTCCCGGGAATACCGATAGCTCGGTTGACTCCGGGCAATTCTTTGGCAGCTTGTATCGCCCCATACCGCCCGATCGGCTTAAGTCACCGAAATTAAACACGCCGATATTAAGCCCGGGCGTCGAACGCATATTGGCAGACGCCGTAGGGGCAGATTGCCAAGTCTTGTTTGATTTCCACGCATTCGCATTCATGAGGTTATTCCTCATGATCTCACTGTAACTCTTCCAGAGTCCAGTGTCAGAACGACCGTTCAGTCGGAACAAACCTGTTGGCCGATAGATCGGCAGGTGCACTGACCCAACCTCAGGGCCTCAGGTGCCTGATTGTCATACATTTCATCCATGGTTGGGCATGCGTCTATTCCGTCGCGAGGACGGAATGTGGCGTCCTTCGCCTTTAGACGGTCTATATAAACCGTTTTTGATGAGGTAGTCAAGAACTGTGCTTCCTGCCGAAATGCCGCGTTCAAAATCGTCAATCATTTCAGACACGCGCTGTTTCCTCTTCTCGCGGACATCCTGGTCCTGCACGCCACTTCCGTAGAGGAAGTTGCGTGTGAACACTTCTTCTTGCACATCATGTTCATTCAGTTCCGTTCGCATCAACTTGCTGATCTTCAAAACAGGGTCCATCAGATCGGCGGAACATTGTAGGAAGCGCAAGCCACGACAGTTGAGGCACGTGTAGTTTCCGCACATGCGGCGAAAGAAAGCTGTCATGGCGGGAATATCAACGCCGTTTGAACGGCAAAACGAACACTGGCCTGGGGCGCCATCGGAAGAGTAAGTCTTCAATATCTTGGTTTCATAGACTCCGGTGGCATTTTGAGCCCTGCTGCTGAGCTTGATTCTCTCCAGGGTCTTCTTAGTCTTGCCTCTGGTCTGTCTGATGGACTCCTTCTCATCTTCCGATAGATCGGGATCTGCGTGGTCGTGGGCCGTTTTCTCGTCCAGCTCCTCGACATCTTGTCGGAGTTCTTCATTTGTGGGATCCTGCTGGCCTGAGCTTGGTGGTTCGAATAGACCAGGCTCATCCCGGTATTCGGGATCCGGACGATGACCAAAATGGTACCATTGAATCCCCTCCTGACAGGTAGTGGCTAAGAAACCAAAAAATAAGAATACAAAAAGATAATTTTAAAAAACAACCCTGAAATTCAACTTTTTTGCATGGTTCTACGTCCTAGCTGGCCCTGGTTTCCAAATATCATACTCAAATGAGGGCCACAATGCAAATAGCACCCAATAAGCCAATTGAATTTAATTTCGGGCCGCAAAATCAGCCAACACCCTCGTCGACACGTTAGCAAAACGAAAAATTACAAAATTTGGTTTCGCAACCTGCTTCGGCAATTTTCTCCTTTTTGCAATTTTTGGCGGGTCGTATTTTTTGTATTGTTTTATCGGTCGTACTTTTTTTCGGATGTTTTTGGTATTTTTTCGCGGGTCGTATGTTTTTCGTAGTTTTTTTTTTTGTTTTTTGGTATTGCTTTCGTATTTTTATATATTTTTTGTTTTTTCGTATTCTTGTAGTTTTTTGTATATTGTATTTTTTGTATGATTGAAAATACCAAAAAAACCGAATTTTTTGATATTGTGGAAAAATACAACTTGGTTTTCGTATCTTTTTCGTCTTTTTGTATTTTCGGAAAATACAAAAACAAGGTCGTATTTTCCCGTATTTCAAAAAATGCAAATTTTCAGCCTCGAACTGCGAGCCGACAAAACCCACCGGCAATTGTTTTGACAACCAACGAAACGTGGTCAGGCTACCCGACAACCACGAGAGGCTGCTCCAAAGACAAGGGGGCCGGCTTCCCATCCCACCCATATCAATGCGTATCAAGTGGCAATTTACGTGAATATTGCATTTTTGCATTTTGGTTAGGGTCGTATTTTTGAAAAATACAAAAAGTAAAAAGTGTACTTTAGAAAATACTTGAGGCCAAGGGGGGTGGCGAAAGCTAGCGCTCCAGAATAGATCGGTATGGGGCAAAGGAGTATGCACTTGATCTCGAAACCAGGGAGTGGAAAGAATATTGGTATTTTAGGATGCGAGGTCTAGACACAGACGTAGCTTGCTCACCAAGAAATTTGAAATGTTTGGGTGTTGGATTGGAAACATGTACGGTTACCTGTAGTACACTGTAGTCTCTTTGAAGAAGCACATGGCCATGACCCAGCGATGCGGTTGTGAAGGTGGCCGAGAGGAGTAGCTTCACAAGAAGCAGAAAACAGGCTGAAAGAAAGAGCGCGGCCGAATTTTTCCGCATGCAGTGAGAGTGTGAGAGTGAGAGTGATGAGGGGGGGGGCTTCGACCTGAAAAATCAGGGGTTAGGATTTGCACCCGGTCGAAAGAAACCTTGCTATCGCAAGAGTAACTCCAGCTAGCTTCGACTGAATGGTTTTAGAAAACAGTTTCAACCACTTCGTGTGCACCTCAACCCGGACTAACGGTCGTCTTAGCTGCGATCTGCTGTCCGTCGTCTTCCACTCAAGTTGGGGGTGATACGGCTCCGGCCGACCAGTGGAGCTACACTCCCAGGTGAAGAGTCCTTTATATGTGGCTCTTAGCCCGGATCCTCCTGCGAGAGAAGAGAGAGAAGAGAGACAGAAAGACGAGAAACAGAGAGGAGAGAGAGAGAGAGAGCGAACAGAGAGATGAGAGAGAGATGAGAGAGAGAGAGACAGTGAGAGTGTGAGAGTGAGAGTGATGAGGGGGGGGGGGCTTCGACCTGAGAAAGAAACCTTGCTATCGCAAGCCAAGGACGATTTACAAATACATCTCGAAGCCAGATAGGCTTTGGTAGCAGGGCTTCAACGTCAGCACTGACTTTGGAGACTGAATGGTTTTAGAAGACAGTTTCAACCACCTCAACCCGGACCAACGGTCGTCTTAGGTGCGATCTGCTGTCCGTCGTCTTCCACTTCAAGGATCTCACGTTGGAGGTCGTACGGCTCCTCCTTTATATGTGGCTCTTAGCCCGGATCCTCCTGCTGCGAGAGAAGAGAGAGAAGAGAGACAGAAAGACGAGAAACAGAGAGGAGAGAGAGAGAGAGAGCGAGAGAGCGAACAGAGAGATGAGAGAGAGAGAGGCAGTGAGAGTGTGAGAGTGAAAGATATGGGGGGGGGTTCGACCTGAAAAATCAGGGGTTAGGATTTGCACCCGGTCGAAAGAAACCTTGCTATCGCAAGAGTAACTCCAGCTAGCTTCGCTAGCTTTCGTGACAACTGGTGATTTTGTATTTTCCAATCGTATTTTTTGTATTTGTTCTATTTTTAATTCTTTTAAGGCTAGCCATCGGCCCAAGCTTACCAGTGAGCTTGGCTGCGCGCGGCAGATTTGGCCTTTCTGCGCCACGTTGGTTGAGCGCCAGCCTGATGCCCGCTTTCGAGCTGCAGAGGGTCTGCAAAGACCCTCCAGAATGTCTGGAAGTGGGGACTGGCATTGTTTGGAGGTGCTTAGGCCTAGAGCAAGATATGGAGCACTTCATTTGCTATGAGCCTTGGTGTCTTTTGGACTCGCCTCATGCTTTGGACGCAAGCGCTTTCCTGTCTTCACCCCGAATGGGCCTCTGATCACCAAAATGCTGGACATTTTCGCTGGTTCAGGTACGGTGAGTGACACCATGAGCACCTTGGAACGTTGGCATGCCAAAACCTTCGTAGCCAATCCCATGGAATCACGATCCAAGGGGACATTGGAGACCCCAAAGTTGTCGCTCTGCTGCATGACACACTGATGGCATCAGGGGTGGAGGGATTTTGCATCATCGCAGGCTTCCCCTGCCAACCTTTTTCAAGGCAGGGCCAAATGTCCGGAGCTTGCAGATGCCAGATTTGGAGCATTTGAAGGCCTCATCTTTGCAGTAAGGTGCCTTAAACCAAGGTTGCTGATGCTTGAATGTGTGACCCTGGCTGGCAGAGAGCCAGCTGATTCGAACCATGCTACAGGACCTGTGTGAAAGCTTTGGTTGCCTTGAACACGGGCAGCAATGGCCAATGAACCGTAGGAGATGGTACTGTGTGGTGTCAGATGTTCAAAACGTTCCAGACAATCTCCCAGGTTGGGGATTAGACCCATGCAGGCAGCTTGTTCGTGATGTAACGCCATCGTTTTTGCCAGCTTCGCACCCTGGCACTGGCATCCATGAGCAGTTTTTGAGTGAACTTGAGATTGAATGCTACGCAGATCCTCGGCTAGTCAGGACAAGCGTCAGTTGACTCTCGAGGACAAGTGCAACACCATTTTGCACTCATACGGCTCACCGTTGCAAGGTTGCCCTTGTGGGTGTAGGCCTGAAGGATTTGCTATGGCAAGCTTGGTCACTAAGTCACTAAGGGTGTGAGGGGATGCTACGTACTATCACCTGATGATCCAAGGCCCAGGTATTTGCATGCAGATGAACTCAAGATCCTGCTGGCTCTTCCACCTGAATTGCAACTTCCATCGAACCAGAAGGAAGCACTTTGTCTGATCGGTTTGGTAGCAGCGCCTCTCCAGCTGCTATGGGTCATGGGACATTGATGACGCTATCGCACCCATTGATCCAAATCTCATCCTGGCTGAGTACAAGGAGCGAATCTTGGAACAGACTCGAGCACGCAGCACGACTCCCACAAGCATCATTTGCTTGGACCAGCAGGACGCTCCTACATGGTCTTGCAGGGTGTATCACAATTCCACCGTCATTGACCTGCTTCGTGCTGAACGTATGAATCTAGAATGGGGGCACAGAGTGCAAGCCTTCGTCGAGCAGGACACTGTTCTGGGATTTGACTACTTGGCCTTGATCTTCAAGCAGCACGTTTGCTTCTTCAGTTCAAAGTGCATGGACACTGCCGAATTGCGCTCCCGCCTCGAGGCAGTATGCTTTTTGAGTTCTTTGATTAAATTGAGGACCAGCGGCCATCCATCATCGTCAACCAAACGGGGGATGTTGTGCCACTGGACACACGGATCTGGTTAATTTTTCCCATGCTGGCCATTGAACTTTCAGCTTGAAGGCAACGGACCTCCTCAGGGTGCCGACCAAGAGCTTCAAGGATGGTATGAAGCAGAAATTGAGTCTTTCATTTTACCTCTTCGAGCTGAAGAGTCTTCCACACACCTTCTTGTGGACAGCCAGATGGATTGTAGACACCACAGAAACTTGGCCACATGCAGCCCGGCAACCCATCCAAGCTCGATGGGAACAAGGAGGCCAGACAAGTGATCGCCGTTTTGGCATTCTGTGGGAGGATTTTCATTGGAGCGCCTTTACTTCGCTTGGGGCAGATGGGCATCTCTCGGTGACCCTCTTTGACACCCACAAAGAGGAAGCCACTTCCTACATGGATCTTTTAGTTGCTCGGGTCAGCACAGCACTCCATTGCCATAGATACAACATCCGTTTGGCTGCAGGCATTGGTCAGAGCTTTGGTGCACATTGCGTTGCCGTACTCAACATCACACAGTTAGTGGACAGCACCCAGACCTTCTGTGAAGAGGATGCCATTCGTTTGCATGCAGAGGTCTTGGACACGTGGAACTCCAGCACATGTTCCACGCAGCAGACTTTGCTTTCACCTACCCTGACGTGGCAAATGATCGGAGAGGGGCCTGATATCCAAGCCCAGTTAGCCGCCCTGATCCATGACAAAGGTGTACCGGACGATGCCAAAACGGCAAGAGCTCAAACCATCCTGCAAAGGCTTGGAGTCCCTGCCGCGACTAAGATCCTTGCGGACCGCAATCCCTGGGCAGCTCTCAAAAGTGCAGCAAGCAAGCCTGGTATCGCACTACGCATCCTTTCTGACGAAGAGAAATCGAAGTACATCGAGAAAGATCGAAGTGCACCAGCATCTTCCATCGAAGTGTTTGCCGACAAGCTCGTTCCTTCTCAGCTGGTGCTTGATCCCAAGATGCTCAAAGACGGCAATGGAGACCCAGTTCCACAGCTACAGTTTGCACAAGTTGAAGCAGATCAGCGTGGGCTGGCCATCTGCACATTGGGAGAAGCAGCCGCATTTCTCCGAGCTCCGAAGTCCATCAGTCCACATGCTCTTGGTTTGCTGATGCTAGAATTAGAGCCTGCAGCTCCAGACATCATGACACAATCCGGCGCGATTAAGATGAGGTTCCCGGCGCAATACCTTGTCACCGGTGAGCAGGTACTGATTTTTGGAGCGCTTTTGAGCATAGGAGACATCAGCATTGATAGAGCCACCTCTGGCTCAATCTCCAAGCAACCGGTTTTGCCCACAGCCATCATCAAGTACATCTGCTATAGAGATCAATACCCGGGTAACTGGAAGCTATTCACAGAAGCTCCGGTTCGAGAGATTCTCAAGATGTTTGAACCGCTCAACTACTGCGATGGAAAGAACGGCGGTACGGCCTGTGCCAGGACACACCCTGATGTTGACAAGACCTATGAGGCGGTGACCTTAGAGCTTTGGGGCCGACATTTCACTGCTGCCACTGGGGCCAAGAAGACACCACAAGAGGCCGATCAGTTCTCCTTTCAGGTTCGTGTTCCTGCTGCAGTGGTGTTGATTCTTGTCTCGAACAATCCCATCAGCCTCTACTGCGATCCTAGAACTGATGACTTTCGGATTGCACATCCTGATTTCTGCATCATCTGGCTCAACAGGGCAGACTTCACACAAGTCGAGCACATGAGCAGAACCTGTTCATACGCCCTTTCCATTGCCAGGCATCGAAACAGATATGGCATCCGGGTCAAGAAAGCTGATGAGGCCAAGGCTTGGGCCGAGCTCAAGCCACATCAACACTTTCAGGAGGTCAAGATTGAGCAAATCTACGAAGTATCAACCTGTTCCCCATGGCACTCAGAAGAAAACCATGGAAAATGCCATGAAGGAATGGAACTGGAGGTGCAGGGTTCTTCAGCCAGGACGAGGTTCACATTTCCACATGTCTTGGCAAGTTGGAGCCCAGGAAGAACCACCGGCCAGAGTGACGCAGGCCTTCCAATCCGACGTCCTGATCAACCCATCCGCGAAGTAGAGGTTGAAGCTCTGAAGTTCTGAAGCCAAAAATCATCGTCGCACAGAAGACTCAGCAGCACCCTGCCAAATACTACCAGAACCGAGGGGCAGGATCCATGGATGAACAACAACGACCCTTGGGCCAAATACCAGGCCACTAGCACTCCAACTGCTCCGCTACCAGCTCCAGCTTCCTCTAAAAGGATTGAAGGCACCCTTCAGCAAGAAGTCACCGAAGCCATTCGCAAGGAACTGGCTGCTGCAACTCAGCAGAGGTATGTCCGATACCGCAGCAGGCCGACTTGATCACCTTGAACCAGCGCTGCAGGAAGTCAAAAGCCAAAACAGTGCACTCAAAGGCTCAAACCAAGTTGAACCGACAAGATGCACCCCAAGAAAACAAATCAGGAAATACAGGGCAACCAGGAAACCACTAAACATCAGCAAGTGAAGATCCTGGTCGGAAGTCTGCTGTACATTTGGATCTTCTGGCGTTGGCTCATCACCTGAACATTGGTGCATTGCCAAAGTAGAAGCAAGCGCTGCCATAAATACAGGAACAGAAAATGCGTTCCCTGCCACGTCAGTCAACTGACTGGCCGAGAACTCCTGCAATTTCACTGGCGGAAAGTTGAACCCTTGCAAAGACAAATATTCCGATGCAATCAAAAGGCGCTCTTTCTGTACAGACCACAGTTTGGAATGTGGCAGCAGTGTTGGAACTACTGTGGTCGAACTCGGGATTCGTGAAATGGTTTGTGAAACGTCAAAAAAGAGTACACGATCAGCTGCTTTTTCTTTCTTCTCATTGCAAAGGTAGACAAAGGAAACCAACTCCTGCTCACGCGCAGTCAAGGTCTGGAACCAAGCATCATCTTCAAAGGAAGGAACCGTTTGGAAAGGCCAAACTACACCAAGTTTTTCTGCAGCTTGCATGTGCGCAGACTGCCACTTAGTGGTGGTGTCTGGGACAGTGACGCCTTCGTCATCATCCTCTCCTCCACCCTCTCCGGCTGCGGCTTCGGTATCTTTCTGTCGCCTCTGCAACTCAGCTATGACGTCCGGGTGGTCATTGTCAAGCAAGAAGTCCTCCATCCCAGGAAGCACAAACTCTAATTCCTTCAAGACATTGATTGAAGTCCTTAAGCGAGCATCAGCTGTGGGCATCATGCCATCCTGCTTCAATATGGCGATGAAATAGTATCTGACACGGCGCTGTGGCAAACCAAACCTCGGGTTGGTGAACAAACAATTTATGTTCCTAGACTTCAGAGTCTATAGATGTCTATAGTCTACAGTCTATGTCTGTATTTATATATAGTTATAGTCATATGTTATATAGTCCAGTCTAGTTTTAAAATGAATAGTATGAACACATGTAGGCTAGCCACTTGGTTGTTTCCAAGCGGATCGCTTCTGCTTCATATCCCAGATCACGCAAATCATTGAGGACGATGTCCAAATTTGTTGGCAAAGATGAAGCTGCCCCCATGTTGATGTTCTCAACGTTCTCCATCAAAACCACCTTTGGACGTGCACGATTGATGATCGATAGTGTTCCATGATAGGTTCTATAGCTGCATGACTTCTCTTTTTGTTCTTCTGACGGCTGCGAGAGAAGTCGGGCTGAAGCACTCATAGATGTGTTCATGCCGCTAAAGCTCTTGCAGCTGAAACCGGAAACAAACACATCAATGGGATCAGATGCCTCACCAAAAACTTCACTGTCACAGTCAAACTTCTTGCTGTGCTCTATGCAAGTCAGCTTTGGTGTTGTGACATCCTTGAACAAATGGCACAGCTTGGTGGTGTTCTCAAAGAAATGGGAGTGAACACGGCGAAGAAAGTGTTGTTTGAACTTCTTGCATTCTACCATGAACTTGACATGAAGCTGTAGATCAAGAGCAGCCTCTGCAAGGTCAGGGTCTTCCTGGATCGCGGCAAAGAAATAGTGGATTGCTTCCTCTGCAGCGCCAGTCCCGGAACACGCCGATGCCATGAAGAAGTCCCGAGGCCAAGTTGCTATGCGCTTGGCAAGCTGCTCCGCACACACTACATACTTCAGCTGCAGCAGTAGCCCTGAAGCAGCCTGCACAACCAATGGGTCTGCTCCAATAGGATTCAATATGACTTCGGGCCATTCACTGATCTCTGACTTGTGATCGCCAGCCTGGACGAACACAAGTTCATTCAATATAAAATAAATTATCACTTGCCACTACATACATTCACTATAACAAAAATACATAAGATATTCTCTTGTACACATTCATTCAACCGCCCACATGACAAACTATATAATTCTGATGCAACCCTAGCCTGCTCTTCAGACTCTTGCTGACCTTTGGGATCTTCAGCGTCTGGCTGGTCATTTGGTGGTTGACTCGGTTGACTTTCGATCTCCTTTGATGCCAGCTCAACCTCAGGAGCAGCAGCATCAATATCAGTATCAGCATCAGCATTTGGTTGAACTTCATTTTCGACTTGGGTTGTCGATTCCTTCGCTGCATGCTCTGTCATCTCAACCCCAGCGGCCTGTGGCATGGCATTTGTCATGACCAGGGTTGAGTCTGCAGGCGCAGCAATTCCGAAAGCCACATTTCCCTCCTCATGTACCTGTGAATCGCCCTTTGATTCAGCTGGTTGGATCATGAGCTGTGGCTGCAAATGTTCTACCGATTGTTCTGCTGTTGGTTCTGGCTGCGTGGTTTGAAGTTCTGCCGATTGATCTGCTTCTTCGTGAAGTTCAACTTCCATGGACAATGCCCTGCTCAAGGACTCCTCAGGCTCAGACTGTGCATCAGCAGCAGGTTCCGGCTGATCATCATGTAGTTCATGCTGAGCTTCATCACCCTTGGGCTCAGTCGAATTCAATTCCCCATCATCATGACCATCATGTTCTTCCTGCTTGTGTTTCAGAAGGCTAGCCTGAATGTTTGCATAGGTGCTTCTGTCTTGGAGTGCACTCTCCTTGAACATCGCACTGGATTCAAACGCTAGCCGCTTTCGCCTTGAAGAAGTAGCAGGAGCAGCCTCGGCCGCCCTTGGAGAAGCTGGCGGGGTGCATGATGATGAGTCTGTCTCATAGGTTCGCGCTGTTGGCGGCGCTAAAGCTTTGGCTTTAGCTTGGCGCCCTTTTGCTTTCGGCACTGCAGCCGGTCGCTTGAGGCCCCTGACCATGACTTGTCTAGTCTAAGTCCAGGCGTTGGGTTTAGACCAGCTTGGCACTCTGCCTTTGAGAATAGAAAGATGAAGAGACATGAAAAGAGTCTTGAAAAGAGCCGTGAACCATTCACACTGCCTTTGATAGACTCTAAAAAGTTCACATTGCCGACTCAACACTCAGACTGAACTCGTTCTATTCTTCTGCGCTCAGCGAACTGTGCCCTGTTTCTGTTGGGTTGCACATTCATGCAACCCCACTGGCTGATAGCCAAGTAACTAAACACAGACAATGAGTCAAAGGAAAAGATTTCATTCCTCCTAACAAACGGAACTGGAACAAGACTTCAGGCTGAACAAAATGCTAAGTTAAGTCACCAGTTAGCATTGCACCATTGCATTCCTTGTTGTGTTTTGAAGACTTGTGCCCAACTCAAGCACACATGATGACCCTTATGTCTCCTGTGAAATCCTGAAGCTTTTGTCGGATTCACAGACAGTAGCGACACCCCTCAGTACACTACTGGAAAATGGCATCAGTGGCATGTTGGCATCGTCTAACACTCGCTACTAAATCTACTCTACACAGATTGACACATGTCACATCTGAGTTGCCCTTGCTTGGATCGTTGGTGAAACGCTCAAAGACTCATCCTTGACAATCTGCATGATGGAATTGATCTTCTTTTTCTTTTCCTCGTCTTTCTCACTGGAGTTCAGCACTTTCAACAAAGTGCCGGTAGTCATAAGGCTCAGCAGCTCTTTCTGCCTCTGAGCAACATCGGTGTACCCTGGAATGGCACTAGCTGGAATGCTCAATTTCCCCGCAACGCTGGCACATTGGTTGATCGTTTCGATGACCTTTAGCATGACTTTTTTGTTGAGCTGCAAAGTGTTCAGCAGGTCCAAGAAGGTCTTGTCAGCATGCTTTACATCACCACCAAGGGTTTCATCCCATGCAGGCAATGCCATCCCTGCTAGCTCCCTTCTCAAGGATTGCGCAGCATTGGAAGCAGGGCGCACAGCGTTGTTGCAGCTTTCCCGCAACACCGAAGTAATGCCCCTGATGACAACCACAAACTTCTTGCCAAAGTCATCTTTGGCTTCACCATCTGACATTGGCAACACATCAAAGACAGCATTTGCCAAACCAATGATGGTTTCCATGGTCTTGTCGTCAATTGGATCTTCTGCGCCACCATCACAATTGAACAGAGGACTCTGAATGCCAAAGTGACTTGCAAGGTTCAAACACGGCTTGACATCAGTAGTGGTAGCATCCTTGGAAAAGTTGTAGGTAGCTGCAAAGCCTTCAGCCAAGATGGCAATGGTCGTGACTGCGTCCAAGACGTTCTTGGCGTCTGCAAATGCAAATGCCACAGGTGGAAGTACCTGGCTTCAAAGACAAGTGAAACCAAAACAACAACAAAAGGGAAACAACTACCATAGACAATGTGACAAAAGATATCAAACCAAATACTACCATCAACCTCAATCCAGGGCGCAGATGCAATCGCGATGGTGCTCTGCAGCGATTCATCTTCTAGAGCAGCTTTGCTGTCGGCAGCTGCAAGGGGAAGGAATCGCCTGAAGTGGTCAGCCAAATCATCCAAGTGCTTCTGGGCAACAGGTTTCAGGTGCGCAGCAGTGACTTGGTCCACCGTGCTAATGAACTTGCGTAGCGATAACCTGCATGGCTCGCCGAGCACAGTTGCCCCAACAGAATCGTTCCTGGTGCAGAGAAGTTTTGCTTCCTTTGCAATGTTTGAGATTGTGGATTGAGTGGTTTCTGCTTCATCCACACTCAGGCTGTTCAGGCTCTTTGCAATCAAAGCGATACTGTCATGGTAGGTGTTG